TATATATATATATATATATATCGCAAAGCAATGTGCTCATGACACCATCCCTTTCCTTTCATTATACTAACATTTCTTTATAATTACTATATTGATTAAAAATGTGCACAGTGAAATACTTCTGACTTGGCTACTCGTAAATTAATTTCCAATTTGGCTTGCTTAAAAATAGTTGAAGAGTTTTGTATAATGGGAGCTTCAGTTAGTATCTTAAACAATTATAAATTACTACTCAATGAAGGAAGGACTGTAGTAATAAAATAACTTTCAGAGAAAGAAAAGCACATGAGAAACAAGATGTTGATAATTATATATTCAAGGGTTGGTTTTCTTGTAAAATATAAACCCATACATTGGAAAAATTGTAAAACTCTATAAATGCATCATTTATAAGCTAATTTCATTGATGCTGCTTAAAAAATGGGAGTTGGAAAAAGCAGTCTTTTTTTTTTTCTTTACAAATTATGCAAAATGTATGTAAAATGACCAAATACAAATTCTAAAATATTATCGAGTTAAAATAGTGTTACAGCTATTAATTTTATATGCAGATGTGCACTTGACATCTGAAAGGATTAATCCCAACCTCATCTAAGGTTGCATGCCTCAGTGATTATTACAAAGAGCTAATACTTGCTTGGCTTCTTTATTATGTCTCCCCTTATTTTTATTAAAGAAAACCCTCAAAATTGGGCACTAGGACAGATGTTTTATCCAACCCATACACTTGATAATCTAGGATTGTAGGATACCACACCAGAACTTGTGCTGACCCAACAGTTTGGTATAGATAGAGTCCTTTTTAATTTTGGGTGAGAGAAGACATGCTTCCCATCTAGCAGTAATATAGTTATTAGTGACATTGGATTATTGTTTGTATATTTATGTTTGAGTCTTTCCTTTGCTGTTTGTGTTGGATTTATTCTCAGCAAACACTTCCTCTTAAACACCCTGATTGTGGATTTAATACTTTCCTGTTCACCGTAATTTTATTGGAGAATACCACACTTGTAACACTATATAAAAGCTTTATCGGTTGGATAAAAGGCTATACCCAAGTAGCCTTGTTTGCATGTTGGAAAATTTCTTAATAGCTCTCAACTTTCAGTTGCTTTATGTATATATTCTAATTCTTATTTAAAATTAATAATAGTTTGCAACACAAATGCTACCAAGTTTTAACAGTGTAGTTTCCACAGAAGCTGTTATGTTTGCTCCTTTACTGCGAAAACATTTTCTTAATTTTTTTTTTAGTACTTTTTTTGATTAATGACTTGTAATTGTTGTTTCAAATCAAAAATAGGCAGCTGTGGTACTACTAAATACCAGTATTGTAATTTCCAGAGAAGTTCTCATTTCATTAAAAGACTTAATACTATTATGCTTAGGAACTATGGATCCTAAAGATTTCCTTGCTGAAGCTCAGATCATGAAAAAGTTACGCCACCCCAAACTTGTCCAGCTTTATGCTGTATGTACACTTGAAGAACCCATCTACATTATCACAGAGTTAATGAAAAATGGTAGCTTGCTGGAATATCTTCAAGGTAGGAAGCTTTAAAAACTAAGAGTAAAGATTAGTTGATAAGAGTTAAGAGTTGTATTTTTTACCCATGCAGTATCTTATCTAGTTAAAGATTTTTTACCAGAAACTACATTTTAGATGGTGGTGTGTATCCACTTAAGGATATCTTGATGTTGTGTTAAATAATGTGACTATAAGATTTTGATTACAAAAGATAAAAAGAAACCTAAATATTCTCCAACCTGCTTATGAATTAACTTGATGGTTCTCACTATATTTATTAAAGAAATATAGTTCAAAAGACTTCATATGGTTTTTTTCATACGTTCATTTATCCATACAATACTTTAAAAATATTAGAAATTAGATGACCTCTTAAATGCAACACAAGATTATTGACCATGTTTTTCAGGTTTAAGTTCCTTTTTTTTTTCTTCTTTTCTTCTTCTTCCTTGCCATGAGTATAAAGATCATAATAACTAAGTTTTTGATTCTGAAGGGACTATCTTTGAAAAATGTGTAGTGTCCTTTTTTTTCTTTTCTTTTTTGCTGTATGGTACACACTCAAAAAAGTTTTGCATTCAAGTTAGCATTTTGGCTTTTCCATTATTTAGTATTTTTGTATATATTGAATGTATCCCATGTTTCCTCCTCATTACTTGATCACTTAAGTGAAAAAAAAAATGAATAAATAACTTAAATGTTTGAGTAAACTCAGTACATTAGCCAAACACCCCTAGTGGTCACATATCTGTTCTGGAGAGTTTGTATTATCACCAGAGATTAACGTACTTCTGATTGTTTAGGTATATATGCATAATCAGTGACAATTTTAGTTATTAAACTTCATGTGTGAGCAGTGAGAAGCTACTTGCTCACCTCTATCTCAGCCTGTAATGTGACTTGAAAAAGTGCTCAGTATAGTGTGAAATCAACGTATGTGATATTCTAAGGAAAAATATTCCAATTTAGAAATTGTTGTTAAATTAAATGATTTCTATTTTAGACCTTAATGATGATCTTTAAACAAAGTACCAAGTAAATATATTTAACTATATTGCTCTGATAATTTAAAATTTATGATGTTAGCTCTTTTAAATTTAAATTCAATTTGCTGGTTAGTTGAGGAACTTAGTCAATCAACAGTTCATTGAAAACAAGAGAATTAGTTGAAACTACAAAAGCAGTTTGTTAGGTGGACATCCATAATGTAACTGTAAACTCTCTAACTTTCTATGCATATTTCTAAAAAAAATCAATCAAACCAGTTTTATAGTAGAGCATTATTCTAAAAAGATCATTAAATTATTCTGATTTTTAGGTTTAGAAACTAGAAATTAAAAAATAATAATTTTATATCGGGAAAATAATGCTTTAAGGTTGTTAGTAAATAAGCACTTGGATTTAATGGCTACATCTGTAGGGTTAATCATTTTACCTTTTATTTTTAAATTGGAACATCCTTAAAGTGTAAAATAATTCTTTCTAAATTTCTCAAATGTGTATGGAAACTATAATGGAAACAGCTGTAGAAATATTTCATTTTAGAAATGTTGTGATATTTTAGGTATGTATCCTAGTTCTCTTGACATTATCTTACTTGCATATCATAAAATTTCAATAGGTCAGCTGATATGTATCATGTTGATTTTTAGCTATCTTGTTTCATTATGTTGATAACTTTTTTTTCTTCAGGATTTTGTTGGTAGGCTGTCTTAAATAGTGCACTACTGATTTTGATATTAATATGGTTATTACTTGATAAGCAGTAACACATTGACATATATTGCTGATATAGTCTCCTAATCTTTATGTTCATTAATATGTGAAGCTTACACTTGTACAATTACTGTATTTATATAGGGAAAGGACGATCTTTGAAACTTGCCCAACTGATTGACATGTCAGCCATGATTGCTGGAGGCATGGCTTACTTAGAGACTCAGAACTACATCCACAGAGATTTAGCTGCAAGAAACATTCTTGTTGGGGAAAATAATTTAGTGAAAATAGCAGATTTTGGTTTAGCCAGGATCATCAAGGTAATTAGTTCTAAATATATAGTAGTATGATTTGGTAGATTATTCATGGTAATTGTGCAGTTTGTGTTGCTTTTAAGCTTATTTTTCAAGGATAATAATTGCATGGCTAAGTATTACTAACATATTACAGAGTTCAATAAAATTAAAGCACAGAACCATTGGTTAACTAATTGAAGGGCTTTTTGTTGTTGTTGTTGAGAAACATGAGTTGAAATAGAAAAATGTTCATTGGACTGGGTAATATTATCTTTAAATCAAATGAAAGCATACATTCTCCATTTATTGATTAATTGAAAGATCATGTTTCAAAATAAGCCATGAACTAATAATGTTTAGGATATTTTAAATGTTTTTTTTATTTATGAATGAAGCATTAAAGGTTTAATCAAGTTATATTTGTAAATAATAATAATATTTATAAAATTGGAAAATAATACATTCTTATTTATATTTTATGTGAAAGTATTCTAATTTAAAATACTCTCAAACTAAGTTGTGAAAAGATTTTAAGAGTTTGTGGGTTTCATGATGGAAAACTATATATAGTTTTGATTTTTAGTCTTTGAGCTTGTGAAATAAAATTGATAACCCAATTTGTGTTTATATTCTTATAACTTCCCAACCCTTTACAAAATACTCTGAAGGTCATTGCAAGATTCAGTTAAAGCAGGTAAAAAATGTACTTAAAGTTACCATGACGTTTCATCACCATCTAAAAAACAGTTGCTTAAAAACCAAAAATAAAATTTAATTCTTAATAAATATTAAGACTTTTGATATGACAAAAAACCATTTTTAATTTACAAAAGCTTTAAAGATTTTGGAATAGTTATTTCATTTTCAGCAATTAATATTATAATTAAATTAGCATCCAAGTTTGAGAATCAGAATAATGTTTAAACATATTAGCTAGGAATTAATAGTTTCATTTTGTGTTTACTTTCTGACTAAGTATATTTTATTACAAGTTACAGATTTTATAGTAAGGAGAGATTATCTTTTAGAATAGGTACAAACAGAGAAGTTTTATTAATAAAATCAAACAATCCTACAATTAACAAATACCAAAGCACACCTCTATATGTTTTTGGTCATTACTTCCCCAGATTTACTAATCTTATGCAAATATTTTGCATAACATATTCCATGTTTTTTATATTTTTACACTTTTTGTTTGTTTTTTTCTGTTTAGCTATAATTATATAATCTGTCAATTCACGTGGATTGATATACACATGCACAAGTAACTTCTGTCAATTCTAAAATTTAAATATATTGTTGAATGTTGATTTAAATACTAAAACCCTCTTTACTATTAAAACTTGTGGACTTGAGAATTATTGCACCAGTGATTGAAATGTCATATCTGTTATGAAAAATAATCTTTCTTGTAGTAAAATCTGTAACTTGTAATAAAATATTAGCAAGGAAATTTGGAATTCACAACTTTCCTTTTAATGTTTTTGTGCCAACAGACAGTAATACTTTAACTATCTCAATTAAAAAATTGATAAAAATTAAAAACTTCTTTCTTTATGGTAATAGGAAGATGAATATGAAGCCAGAGTTGGTGCACGGTTCCCTATCAAATGGACAGCTCCAGAAGCTGCTAATTATAGCAAATTTTCCATCAAGTCTGATGTCTGGTCATTTGGTATTTTACTGACTGAACTGGTCACTTATGGAAGGATACCCTATCCAGGTAAAAAATGAATTTTTTTTTCCTGTTTTCATTTTAAAATTTCTCAAAAATATGTAAAGTTTTAAAAAGCTTTATATTTAACAATTTGTTGAGCCATGAGGCTTTGATGCACTACCTTTGAATGGTTGCAAAATCTTATCACTTAACATCCTTAATAAGTACATTTTGTTGTGTTATTATTGACCAAGTGATTGCCTATAAAAGAAAATGCAAATGACTGATGTGTGAAATAATCAGTTTACTTGTGTTCTGACTAAAAATGCACATAAAATTAATGTTGTATGCAAAATACCTTTCAGTAACTAAGTTTTCATTGTGAGAAATTGTTTTGTTTTGTGATGAATGAAAATACAAACATTGTCTTGAGCTAGACAGTTACCCTGCTAATATGAGTGGAATGTCACAAGCCCAAACTTGGGCAACATTATTATGTAATCTCTGTAGCTGTACTTATAATTCCAAAATTTGGTCCAATGTTACCACTTATTAGCATATTACAGTTCATGTTATCATTTGCTAGACACTTAGAATATGATGTCCACCTTTATGCCTAACAATTCAGTTTTCTTTTCTGTGATGCTATTTTTTTATTATAATTATTTATACATTTACATATTTTAGTTGAGTTCATTCTTAATGAGACTGCACTTGATATCTGCCAAGTTAATATTGTGATTGAAATGAGTATTTCCCTTTTAAAATTTTTATCTGAACTTAGAGCTTTATTATGTAAATGTGGTATAGTTATTGTAACTTATTTTCTTTCTTTAAATATATTTCTTGCACTTCCATGATAATTCTCTATCTCTAGTCCATTTTGTTATTTTTAGCGTATTGCTCACAGCATTTAAAACTGTTTAATATTCGAAGTTATCAGTTTTAATCCTAAAGACCATTAACTCACCACGTGTGTTTTTAAATATTCCAAAATGACTATAACACACAGGAATAGTTATGCAGAGTTTCACACTTTATATAGCTTCTACTCATCATTTTATAAATCATAATACATAATAGGAGAAAAAAAATAGCAATCATTCTCTCATTTGATCCATTTATTTATCAAGAACTCCAGTTTATGAAAAATATTTAAAATTCATCTTGAATGAATTGTAAATTGTCTTCAGTAGATAGTAACAAAGAAAATGTACCACAATACATATAAAAAGTGCAGGAAATAAATCTATGTCAAATATGAAATTTTTAGCTGAGTTTAAAGTTGTGTCCAAGAGAGAAGACGTAAGATCTACAAGTATGTACAAGTTAATTTGATGTTCAGTTTTAACCCAAAAAAATCAAGCAAGTAAAAAAAAAACTAACTTGGCAGAACCAATTATGCAACTACCTTGCCCATTTCTGTAAAGTAACAATTTTGTTTCAAATTGAACTTTGCTTCTACTAGACCCAAATCATTTCTAATATCAACATATGGTTAAAGAGACATTTACATCTTGACTCAATAGTTATTTTAGTTTTGATAGTTACTTTTCTACATAAAATATAACTAACTTGAACATAACATTTGCAATTTGATAATCAATTTTAACATATATTCAGATGTGCCCAAAAATTGTTTTACTATTTTCATGCAAGATAATATTTGCAAGTATAATAATGATTAAAAGCTTCTATGAGCTGTTTGTTTTTCTGCAGTTTCTTTTGTATAAATTTCAGTATTTAGGAATTTTTTCACTCTTATTAATACTCAGCTTTAGGCTTTACCTATGCTCCCACTGCAAAGCATAGTGGAGCATATTGGTTTGACCCTGTCTATCCTGATCTTGTAGACAGGATATCTCAAGATTGGGTGGATATATTTTGATGAAACTTATAGAACAGGTACTACATACAAAATTCTAGGCCTCATTATTTTTTAAAGTTCGTAAGTCAAAATGGTGGTATATACAATTTGCACTTGTTTAATTTTCTTTGATTTCAATGTGACACAGATAAGTATCCTTTTTTTTTCCAGTAAATCATGAGTTTTTTTGTTGTTGTTGTGGTGCATAAAAATATAACACATCTTTGTCTTTTTTTTTTATTTTATGTGCACACATTACACCTTGGATTTAAACTGCAATAATCCTAACTTAGTATTAGGTTTAGTTTTTCTTCGATATTACTTGATGAGAATGTCTATTCTGGGCGTTTTTATGCATGTTATCTATAGGTTACACGACCAAATCTAATGCTTCTTTGTTATAGTTGGGCCAGGTGTGTTAGCTATCCAAACTGTGGATCCAAAGGTCCATGGTTTGGGTCCCATTACCATAAAAAAAAGTTTTATACTTTATGACCTTTGGTGCATCATAAGAGTGGCAGTCAAATCCTACTATTTAATTGAGAGTAGCTAAACAGTTAATAGTGAGTGCTGTTGACTAGCTGCATTCCCTCTCATCTGTCAATTCAAGATTATGTACCTGTAGCCCAGATAGTTCTTGTTTAACTTTGCACAGATATCCAAAACAAACAAACTTGTCATTGTTACGAAAGATTGATAAAATTCACATGGAATTCCAACACGTCTTTTGTATCAACATTATGATGCTTGTGAATTTTCAACTTGTAGCTATTTTATAATCTCTGCTTTCAAATCTCATAACTTGGTACAATGTTTCTCCAATTGATTGCTTGTTTAACCATTAAATTAATTTAGTCTTCAGCCAACATATGTAAGTTTCCTTCAACATCACTGATGATTAATATGAGAGGGGGGGTGAAGTTGTGCAAAAAACAAAGTTGGTTGATTTAAGAGGCATGAAAAGGAAAATCTAGAATACATTTAATTATTAAAACCCTTGAGCAACTAGAGCTGCTGAAAACTATCCTATAATTAAATGATATATATGTTGCATGCTTTTTTTTTTCTTTACCTCATGTAAGATGAAAGTGATATTTTGTGAATGGTGGATAATAGTTCTAATTATTTAATTTCAGGTATGACAAATGCTGAAGTTCTTCACCAAGTGGAGCATGGGTATCGTATGCCTTGCCCACCAGGATGTCCAATGACTTTGTATGACATTATGCTTGAATGTTGGCATAAAGATCCTCTGAAGAGGCCTACCTTTGAGACCTTACAGTGGAAATTAGAAGATTTCTTCACCCATGAGAGTTCAGAATACAAGGAAGCTACAATGGCTTACTGATTGGCATTTAGAAGTAATATGTTGTAACACATTTATTTGAAATTGCAAAAGAAATAATTAGTCATATTCTATATTTGTGACTGTGAAATAAAATATAGGAAGGTGGAATATTGTAAATATGTTAATATGATGCTTCTTAGAAGCTGAATTGTTCTTTGTCATCTCTTGAAATATTTTAAAAATAATCTACTACCAAACATTACATCAAATAAATATATTTCCTAGTGGTGGTTTCTTTTTTTGCAAGATTTTCTTGGTGAATTAAGCATCAATTAGAAAACAATGAATATTGAAAAGAAAGCTAGCATTATACACAAGATTCTAGAGTAAATTAGTAGTGTTTGTGTATATTACAACTGGAAGTTTTCTTAAATGAGAGCATTAATTTCTAATATACAGATCAATTGATGTACTTTTCTCTGATTTAAGTTGAAATACATTAAGAAGCATCAAGCAAGTTTGACCAATCACAAAATGTATTACATGGTCACAAAAACTTCTCCTTGCACCTTTGCTTTGTTTATATTTTTGCAACCATAATTTTTTTATTGAGGAAATTACATAATGATGTTTTATTCATTACTTACGAACATAAAATTGACTGGTCTTAACTAATTGCTTATAATTTTGGTACTGATATTATTATTGTTCTAATGATTTAATTGTGCTTAAAGCTTGTGTAACCTTAATATTTTAAAAATTAAATAAATTAATATGCATAATACAGAGGAAAAGTTTTGTTTAAGTGATATACTTTTATGTATAGGGCTGTTTTTGGATTTGTAACATGAAAGTATTTTATGCAAATACTTCATATGTAGAAATTCTGTTGGTCAGTTGCATCCAAACAAAAACCTTTCTTTACTGTTTATCATAGTAATAGTGGAATAGTGTTTAATTTTTATGATCCATGTTAAACATCTTACTTAATAACCATTGTTTTGTAAAAACGATTAATGTTATTACAAAGTTCACCCATTAGAGTTACAATTATATTTGTTCAAATGATAACATTACTCAAAATTCATTAAGAAACACAAAGTTGCTTACAACTTTTAGTATTGTATAGTTCATCATAAATATCAGTGCAGTGAAAAAAATATTGTGAATTGAGTGTTGCTTTTAGTGTTAGTGTAAACTACTTCCAAACAACAAAGAAATGACTGTTTAAGCTGTGAAACTTTACATTGGGTTGGCTTCATTGGTAAATAATAGTGCACATGCATTTAGAAACCACTGGAAGTTTTCTTGCAGTGGTAAAGTACATAAGCAACTCTTTTTTTTTTTTTCTCACAAGCATTAACAACAACTGAGTATCTTGTATACCATAAGTGATCTTTTCCATAGGTGACTGTACAATTATGAATTGTTTAATACCAGAGAATTATAGATCTGTCGATCATGGATGAAATGGTATCTGAGAATAGAGTAAGGAAGCAAATCATCTGTCAGAAATTGGAGCAATATTCAATATTACAGGGTTAAATATTACAGAGCCATGAATATCAAACAGTAAATAAATCACCACTTTATGAGTTGCATACAAAATGAGAAATATGGAATATCAAAGGTGTATCAATAAATCTTCAAAATTTGCTCTTCTCACAAATGTTTCTATCTTTTTTTGATCATGTGATTATAGAGATAGATTTGTATGAAAAAAAAAAGTCAAAAAATATTGCCTTTAAGAAAATGTAAGGCACAATTCTAAAGAACTGTGATTTGACAGCTTGATTTTGCTCTCCAGCAGATCAGAGACATAACAGCTCTGCTTGTCTGAAATAAACAAATTTACCTTGGATGCTATATATTTTATTAAGAATGTGAAACTGACAGTTTTGAATAACAACATGAATCTTATTTTTATAGATACTTTAGTGACTTAAGTCAATTTTTTAACTCACTTGCATAATTTATTAAGCTGTAATAAATATACATCTGTTATTTGCCTACTATTGTTTGGAATAATGGATAAGTTATTAGAAACACAATGTTATTTTCACACCAAATTGTCAAAGCTATTAAATGTTATTTGAGAAAGGATCAAAAGTAACTAGTTCATACAGATAACTAAAACACCAATAATGATTTTTAGGCAAATATTTGATTAAGTTGTATCAAACTCTTCTCACATGTGTTTAAGTGTCAGTAGGCATCCTCTATCTTCATTTTTACAAATTATGCAACTGGTGTCCATGGGTCAAAATGGTCTGTATCATGTCCATGCAGGGAGATCACTCAGCAATTGTTTATGGTCAATACTTTCAAGCATTATCTTTTATCATCAAAAACTTTTGTTATAATGTGCATTAATGCATTCATTCTGCGTACTGAGAAGCACAAGTGTCAATATTGCATCCTATAATTTTTTACAAAGCTTTTATTTCATTACATACTTGTAAAAATTTGTGCAGAACCTTCACAAATGAGGTACCATTGTCACTTCTTCCTGAAAGTTTTCCTTTAGTATAGCTGAGAGTTCCCACTCATTACAGCACTCATCCACAAATGTTTCTTGGAAAATACTTTACTCACCAGATATAGGCCAGGCTTTTCAAATGTCACTTTTAAATAGTTGACTAATGTATTTGATGATGATATTCTGCTCAGAAATTTATCTGTGGCTTGAGGTATCTTGACATCAAAACTGATGAATCTTTTGTTAGCTGCAGTCTCTGCTGAACATTAGCATCATCATGATCATCAGTACTTGAAACAATCCTGGATTCCCGTTTGCCTGAATGTTGTTCATTGTTCATGGTGGACAATTTCTGTGTGGCAGCATCTCTGCATGTAAATACATCAGGCAGTATCAGTCCATGTGGCAACATGCACACTATAAGAGGTCACCCACTTATTTAATAGAACAGGTTTTGGAAAAGGTAACCAAATTCAATTAACTCATACTTACTACTGTTATATCTCGTTGGATGTGAATTAGTAAATCTCATGATAGCACATTATTTTGAAACATTCACACTATATAGTTTTCCTGGATTTATTTTATGTTTTCTTTCCAAATTATTGTTATCATTATTAAGGTATTAGAAACAATTATTTCTAAACTACTTATTGTTATTATGTTTAGCTTTAATTATATTTTATTTTAGTTTTTTAATTTTTCATGGATATTTTATATCAATTTTGAATCTGAAACTTGGGAGAGGGGGGCACAGGATCTAAACTGTCCAGGCAAAGCCACCCCCCACACCCCACCCCATGTAAAGCTGGGCAATTTAATCAATTAATCTATATCTCTGATTGGTTTCATATAAACTAATTGATTAATCATAATTAGTGTTTCTGATTATTACTGTTTTCAAATATTGCAACATTTGAATATTAATTGAAATTACAATTATTTCTGTTGCCATAAAAATAATCAATTAATTGAAATTAGTTTGTCCAATTATTATTATTTTTGATTGTCTCAGCTATCCAAGTAATCAAACATTGCTATTATATTTATTTGTTGTTAAGCACAAAGCTACACAATGGGCTGTCTATGTTCTGCCCAATTTCAACTTTATAAGTTGTGTTTTTACTTGAAGTTTGTTCAGCTTTGGTGATTTGGAGGTGAGGTGGGGAGGAGCTCATGATTCAAGGGTCTTGGGTTCAATTCCCCTTGCCACCAAACTTACTCACCCTGTCTTTGTTATGACAAAGCTACTAAGGCTATCTGCCACTGTCACTAACTTTGAACTCAACTTTCAGCTAGTGATTCCAAAACTTGGGTGCATACATCTGTTGTTTTCCCAGTAACTTCTGGTGAAAATGCCATGTCTGTTTGGATCTGTTGTAGATAGCACATCTAAAGAGTTTTGTACTGTATCAGAAGCTGGAGTCACAGTGTTTTGATTTTCTCTATCACATTCATTCTGATCTGCTAAATATTGTTGTCAGATGCATGTACTTTGTTTCAGTTCAGCTGGATTTTTGTTTTTTATGTATACTTTGAAGATGGCATTTTGACAATTCTGATATCAGACAAAATATTGAAAATTGAATAACAGTAAGTTTTGTAGAATAGACAATTCCTGCTTTTTGAAGTAAAAGCTCAAGATTTGGTATAAAAAATGTACATAAATTATTTCATCGGGGTCCTAGTAAGGTGTTATAGAAAGTAGGTTTTTTATATAAAGAAATGAAAATAAAGAGCACATTACTCATTGTTGCCTGCAGAGAGCTATACAAAAAAGATTAACATGGCTGACCAGTAAAAAATTTTATACTCAGTGAATGTAATTTTAACCACTCTAACATTCAGTGTTGCTGGTAAATCTAATATCAAACTAGCTTTAGATATTATTTTTATTACTTAAAATGTGATCTTCTAATGTTATGTGTATCAATAATCTGTGATATTGCTCAAATACTGGTCTGTAATCCACCATTTCATTCTTAGTTACAAATTTCCCAGGAAACTGGTAAAAAATTAGTCACTGTTCTTACAGTGGTCTTTATGATGTGATAATAGAAGTAACATGCTTTTTGAAATTTTGTAAATGAACCAAGTTTAGGGGAATTAGTCTTATAAGATTAACAGTATGATTATGAAACTTGTGCAATTCTTGTTTTTTCTCCTACTGTGTCACAAATGAATATGATTTGCCTATTACTTGTAACATACATTATTTCAAAATATGACAAATACAAATGCTTAATTTATGAAGCTACAGCATCTGTTGTTAGACTATCACTGATAAATGCAGTTTTTATTTTTTGCAGCTGATTCCTAGTTTGACATTGCACACTTGGTAAAAGATTGTAAAAAACAAACTTTATCAGATGTGGTTAGATTTGGTTTGATAATGTAATGCCCTTTGAGTAGTAAGACTGTTGTATTATTTTAAAATTTCATAGAAAAATGGTCAGCTAAATACAGGTTGTGATACATGTCATCATTCATGTTGAACATGTATTCAAAGACACTAAGCAAGTTATGTGAGAAATATAACCCTTGAATTGCATGTAGCCTGTACTTCAGAGATAGTGCTGTCTTTGAAATTTTTAAGCTATTACTAAATATCACCTTGTGGTTTTTAATTGTGGCATGTGATAAATGATCTTCTGTTGGATTTTGAGTGGGAAGCAACAGCAGTAACTTGTATCCATAAAGACCCTTAGCAACAGCAGTAGCTTGTATCCATAAAGAACCTTAGCAACAGCAGTATCTTGTATCCATAAAGATCCTTAGCTCATACTAAATATTGCCTGCTAGTATGACAGGTGCAAAATTTTGACAGCAAGTTTCTGTGCCCCAACTATCTAAAGTAACATTGCTATGACTGACACTGAAACCAAATAGCCTTACAGGTCCTGACACTAATGCTGAAAAAGGCCCTAATGGCTAGGCCAGTGTATCTTCAACATCATTAAATGTGAATTTTGCTAAGCTACCATTTATGTTTGTTTTGTCATTTGTTCTTATGAGAGACCATTTAAATTCTTGAGATTGTTGTGTAGCCTTATATACTCTGCCATATTTCACTAAACTGCAGACAAGAGGTCAGCTAAGGTAAATTATATTGGATGGTCACTCATGATGTTAAAAAAACTTGTAGGTTCAAGAAGTCTTGATAGAAATGAATAAAAACCTCATAACCTGATTAGTTTTGAAAGGTGGACCTTTCTTCTTCAAAGGTAAACTGGATGGTTACTATTTGCCTATAGGATTAGTAGCTAAGTCTGCATGGCCAAATCTGTAATCCAACCAAGAGGTATAGATGGCAGGCGGGATCACTTGATCTCTCAGCTAGGTATTCAATTTTAAGTCAATGACTAGGGCCTAGCTTCATTGAGCATGAATGGTGATGATGTTGCCACTACTGTCCCAAAATGAGTTTAAGACACACTCCTAGCTCTTAGAATAATGGTATTACCCTACCAGATTAACATTAATAGAAAATAAAAGATGCTGTGATGAAACCCATTTCTGTATAATAATAAAAAAAAATTGGACATACTGTGAAAAGGGGGCTGCTTTAAATAAATGAAAAATAATTAGAATTGTTGAATAAATCAATGACAGTAAAAACAAAGCAAATCAACTGGAACAAAAAAAGCAAGTTTTAAGAATAATGACGTGTTTAGTACAACAGCAAGTTGACTCCTAAAAGAAGTTAGAAGTATGTGTATGAATACTAATGAATTAGTGATATCCCTGAGTGCGAGAACAGAAATATATAATTTTTGAATATGTGGTCTTTCATTTCCATTGTGGATCTGTTTAAAACTTGTTTTCTGTGTAATCCGTTTTTTCTCATATTATTTAATTGTATTTTCAAAAATGTTTAAGTAACAGGAATTTTGCATATCTCAGTTATATTTATGAATTTTTTTATTTCTATGTGTCTGTATAAGTACTTGTTGTTGATTTTTTAATAAAGGTTCCTTAAAAAAATCATAATAACTTTGCCAGAAGTTCAACATCATGATAACCTTACAGTTGAATGAGCAAAAGTCACTTGAATAATATTATAACAGGCTTTAACTGCATTGAAAAATACTTGGTAGAAATAACAGAATTTGTAATACTAAGTATTTGTTTAAATTTAATTTTTCTAAGCATTTATTTTACATTAAACTATAAGCTATCTAAGTATATTTCAGTTTTAAATTACTTGTGACTGTTAAGATGAAGTTTAGAAAATTATGTATTGTTCTAACCATGAATTATTTTTTAATTTTTAGTTTAAAGAATACCCTGAGAACTGAAAATCAGCTGAGTTGACTGAACAAATTTGTTTTTTTTAATACATATTACAAGAAGGGCCAGTGTATTTAAGAGGTGCAGTTTCCAAACCTGAGGTCACAGCAGGCTCTGGCGGGATTAAGAGTTTAGTGGAAAAAATATTCACGTGTATCAAACAAAGCTACTAGGTTGAAATAAATTTTTGAATAGCTGAGGTCCTGCAGATTTGAGGTGATTGAAATTGGGTTGGCAGTGAAAAAGTTTGGGAAATGTTTAGAATATTTTACAAAAAAGTAATTTGTATGCCAGTCAAGTTTCAATCTCTAATTTGTCAAATTTAACCATTCTTTAAAAGGCTGACAGTAGCAGGCAATAGTGATATAATTAAATACTTGTAAAGTACTACAATTTTCTAAAAATAAGCAAAAAAATTACATTTCATATAAATCTTTTATATACTTGCCTTTGTTTTCTTAAGAGTTTTTAATTTGGTACTCATATCAAAACTAGAATGGTGAGAAGTGTTGGTTTCTTGAACTTTTCGATTTGCTAAGTTACACCGGAGATTTACTATTGGTATTTTTAGTTTAGTCATCAGGTGAGAGACAACTATAATTCTGTTGTCATTTGGTATACTATTGAGTATATATATATATACTCAATACTATATATACATAGAAGGTAGATTGTCATTGATCTCATGTAAATGCAAAATGATGAGGATTTTAAGATTCCCTTTTTTCCATTACTGTTATTTCAAAATAAGTTCCTCAATTACAGAAAAGTTTCTATGGACATTTAACTCCATATTTATAAGCAGTAATGAAACTTAGGGGTTTATTTTTTCTGATAATGCAAAGACCCGATAAAATGGAAGATACTGTACTCATAGTAAGACTAGGAAATAATACAAAGGTTACAACACTGAATCTGTATATAAATGTGAACATTTAACCTGGTAGGCTTTTGAGGTGTCTGATTGAAATCCACTGAATATTTTAAGGATTTGCAGATGAGGCCATCTCGATGTGAAAATTTTACCTCTTTGATTTTATGATACATTGAGTCCTTTTTATATGTTTCTAGGCAGTTGTTAGGAGACAAAGATCAAAATTGTGATGAAATTCACTGCAAATAAGCTTATTTTACTGATGTTTTGGGCCTAGGACATTGATTTTGTTAGTTGAAAAACATCTGGAGCATAGAAACTTAAGAAGTCATAGAACAATGGGTATGCGTGTTATAATGAAAGTGCATCTTTAAACTGTAAGTATAATTGTGGAAACAAGTCACAGAATACAAATATTTAAAATGTTTGATGGAGAAAATTTACCATAATTTAAAAAAAATAAGTTTTAAAATAATTACATATACTGTTATTTCCAGTAGAAATAATATAAATAATTATTAGCCTTAACTAGATGTGGTCTACATACTTGAGATCTATTTTTTTTAGCTCATGCAGTAGCTCTGTGCAAAGAAAAACCATTTTAATGAACTTGCACTTTTACTGAATGATATATAATTTTTGAATATGTTTTTCTCTTTTATTCAGATTGCTGTAAGGTATTTATCAGTGGTTACTTTACCACTTTTTCATAAGGGAAAACTGTTTTAAGCTTTATCTATTTGTCTTGTTGTAGCTCACTATTAGACCTGGCATAGCCTAGTGATTAGGGTGCTCAATTCCTAAGCTTTGGGTTTGAATCCCCGTCACTGAACATGCTCGCCCTTTCAGCTATAAAGTGATGGTCAATCCCACTGTTCATTGTTAAATAGAGAGGCAGAAGAGTTGGTTATAAGTGGTGTTGCCTTTCCTCTAGTCTGTCACTGCTAATGGATTAAGCAGATAGCCCTTTAGTAGTTTTGCACAAAATTCAAAACAATTAACCAGCTGTTCTGAATTGGCTAAATTTGTCAAATACCATCTCTCACCAGTAGGCCTTGCAGACATTATACTCTTTTTTTTAAATGATGAGGAAAAAAACATTAAAAGTTTAAGTGTAAGTTTAATGCTGCTTGTGTGTATATGATTGATTAATATGTATGCATATTCATTATGTACTTCACAAATATACCCTATGGTTATTGGATGGTGGTTAATGTAGGATTTTTACTGAAAAAAAAAGATGATGCATTAATTGTTTGAAATGATTAACCTTATTACAAAATATATATATTGATCTTTAGTTTTTTTGAGCTGAAACAGTATATTAGATTTGAAACTAAATTTAGATATTTGTAAGTTTTTCAAGTAATGAATTTTCAGTATAAATCAAATCATCTTAAAATCCTTTTTTTGAACATTTTAAAAGATGTGCTCCTGTTTGTTCTAATTTGTAAATATGTATATTATCAATGTGTGTAATTTGTCTAATAAGGCTCTAATAATTTGGATTACTTGTCTTTTTTGTGTAACAACTAATGAATAAGTCATTGTACATTGGATAATTTGATGTCTCATATTGATGGAGTTTATCTCTTTTATTGTTTTGTATAAAAGGATATATTTTATTACATTTCCTTTGCTCAAAACATTTTAAACAGAAAATACCTTATTATTTGATTTAATATTGAAATAAGTTAAACTACTAGATAGCTTTTCAGGAGGATTTACTTTCTGTTTGGAAAGAAACTAGTCACTTATCATAAGTTCTTTTGTTGCTTGTTTGTGAAAAACCTAAACATTTGCATTTAAGTGTTTTTGGCCAAATAAAAAAGTTTTTGTAGGGAGAGGTGTTCAAGCTATAACTCAAGGTGTTGAATGATATGCATTAGCAACTTGCATGAAAAGAACATCAAAAATTTGAAAAGCATATCACATGATTAAGTACTTTTTTGTTTTATAAGTTTTACTATAATATTTTTATCTAAACATAAGTATTTCATACTTTTGTACTAGTTTGATTGTGCCTTAAACAATTTGTTCTAGACTGTTTGTCACATTTTGAAGTATTTCTTTTTTCTCTATATTTTTTTGTATGCTTGTTTTTATTTCTGTAATAATTTTAAATAAACAGTATAATTTTTTTACAGTTTTTTATTCTGACCACCTAGTGACTTGGTAGTAACTTTGGTGCTTATAGTTCCAAAATTATGTGTTGGATCGCAGCAAAAAAAAACTCATTGTGAAGCTTTGCATTTAAAGAAACACTTCTCTACTTTTTGTAAATAGACATCTTATACTAAACAAAAGTACAATTTTGTATGGTTCCTGGAGCTTTCTCTTAAAATCTTGCCTGTAGGTTTAGGACTTTTAAGTATTTATAAGTTTGTTTGTTTTCACTGATGACTCTTCACTACAATTTCATACAAATATTTTCTAATGTGATTTTATATGTACATGTAGTATAAACCCTTGTGTACAAAATATCCTTAAAATATTAGATGTCCAAACTCGTGTACAATCTGAAATTGCACAAAAACAAGTTTCTTGTATAATACATGATAGTGTTTTACTAATTAAGGTATAATTTCAAAGAAAATGTACCAAAAATGTACAGCTGTACAATTTTGAAAAAGCTAAATTATAAGTTATCTGTAATGCTTATTAAATTAAATCTTTATGCTTAAGTAAGATAAAATCACAACCATTTTTCCAGATGTGTGTTTTACCTATATATTTCAGTTGTTTTTTTTATTGTAATAACATTGATTTGGAATAAAATAATGATTCAAATTGTGTTTCTGTTATTAAGATATTTAAACAGATTTTCCAGATTTCTTCAAAGATATAAGGAATAGCTGTATAACTCGATTTAATATTTAAGTAAAGTTAGCAATGATTCATGCTTCAGGGTGTTTTTTTGTTTGATTTGTCAAGTTTAGGTTCAGTAACTTAAACGAGTAAAACAAAAAGGCTTATTGCTTTTATAATACCCACAATGCCTCATTTATGCCACTGTAAGTTGTTTAAAATCATTCTTGTATCTTATAACTTAGAACATTTCATAATTTCTGAAAGATGTTATCAAAATATTTAAAAATAAACTTTTAGTCTTGTGTCATTTGTGTAGTTTTTGAACAAAGAGTACATGCCAGGAGAGTTTTGGGATGGAGATATTCTTGATTGAATTATGAACTGGAGGTGAGGTCTTAAACCTTCACTCGATGTAAGAATTACCCACATAATAGTTACTGCATATTGAGCAAGTAAAAAAAAAATTGAAGTATTTAGAGTTCCTTATTTCATTTATTCATAATTACGTGCACTAAACTCCAGCCAGCATTAAGTAATTAAAAAAAAAAATCTTTAAATTCTTACAACAAAATTAAACTGTCTTACCACACTATAAATGAAAGTTCTATTGGAGATGTCACCTCATAATCATGTATATAAGCAACTGTAGGGCTAAACTAAAATGCTGTTTGTTTGTTTTTTTAGCTATATTTTGGAATCTTGTTAATCTTAGGGTCAAAATGTCTGCATGAAAATATTTTGCACACGATATAACATATATCGGTATTTAATTTTTAATGATAAAAAAATCAGGCCAGTTTTGTGGATGTGCTTATGAACATTGTATTTATGAAAGCAGCATCATTGGTGCTCTAGGTATTCTAGCTATCATCAACAGTTTGCCAATCGTCAACATTCTAGATTTATTACTTATCTTCTGCACTGTTTTGATAAACTAAAATCGAGTAGATGAATTATCTGTAAGATATTTTCTAATCCATTCAACAGCTTGGAAAGTTAGGGTCACAGATCCATTTCAAGTGTCATATGTGTTTGAATTCACAGAGATCATCTCCAGTCGTACAAATTCTCAATATTGTATGCAGTACTTCATCAGCTTTACTAACTGTTGAAACTTAGTGAAATTCATTACACGTAGAAACTTGTGTGAATATATGTACGCATAGCAAACATTCTTTCACAAGGTAACTCAGAAAGTAAGGATCACAATGTCCTTATAGCAATTAATATATAGAACAATTGCCATTCCAAGCCATATTAACTGGGGGGCCAAATTTTCCATTGTGGCTGTGGAACTGTGTGTTACTCACTCAGGTGGCATCTCCTTTGATTCTTCCTGACCAGGCAGGGAAAATTTGATTTTTTCATTCCTCTTCTGCTAGATAAGAGTACTACTCGATGGTTCTCTTAACAGTAGTACGGAGGCCCATTAAGATCATACTTTTTGTTTTCAAACTCAGTCATTTCCATATGTATAATTATTAATTAATGTTCAGTATAAATAACACTTATTACAATTTATAATGTAAACAAACAAATTTAAAAATTTTCAATCAATAAAACAAAAGTTCAGGAAGGGTCTGTTAATATTCTATGGAATACAGAACCTATAAATTGCTGACAATTTTCCCTTGCACAAATGGCTTTTTCTGTGAGCCATACAGGAATTATAATGTTTACACCATAGCTCTACATCATTGCTGGAATGCAACAAGTAAAAATAATCTCCACTTGTTGGTTGTAGTGGGAGTTACTCCCTAGTATCCCTCAAATTCCAATACACGTATTGAGTAACATTTATAGAATTTTGGCACTTCAAGCTCTCCGGGTTACTAGCTGCATCACAGGTCAGTCACCATGCTTGTGTGGGTTGTATTGATGGTATCTACAAATTGATTAAACAATTGCTAGAAGTCCATGTTTCAATATTATGTTTATATATCTGTAAAGGTCACACTTCTTGCTACACAACAAGTATCACCCAAAATAAATCTGGATCCTTTAGTTGGTCTTTATTATATTTGGTATCACTGCATGGATTGTTAGCATAACTAAGACTTCAGGTTTGAACATTGTTAAAGCAAACAAACTCTCACCTGCCAGCAATAGCTAATCTGTATTTCCATGCTGTAAACCCTGTAAGTGTCGTTCTGTACAGAGAAATACTGCTCCTGCAACATTGTGATCATACTTTCCTGTTTTCTAAAGTTCATCAGTTACTTCTTTACTGGTGAATTGTGGCTAAGATAACATTAACTACTCCACTAGTTTCAGTTACTTCTGCCTCATGCACTGAATGGATGATGGGACTCTAATAACTACAGTTTGTCTGCCATAGTTACATTTCATAACTGTTCTAGCAAGTGCTAGAATGTGTTACAGACATTGCTTCAACCAGACCATTAGCACATGGTGCTACCCAAGATTGTTATTGTAGTTCACCATGAAACAGAACTTGTCTATAAAATGGAATTGTAATGTCTACATACAGTTGTGCAGTCCACTGCACTTGTGAATAATTTAGCAGACATTTTATGGTTTTTCCAGACCTGTAGTTCACCTAGTACACAGGCTGTACTAGAAGATAAATTCGGTAAGACACATAAATGTAAAATGCTGATATTTGAACCAAGTCTACTACTTTTACTCTCATACATATATTGATAGTACCAACAGTGAACAGAAGTGAGCTTTTTCATTGTAAACCAATCATTGTTTTAAGGGAAGAACTTTGTGTTTGCATGACAGTGACTGATACATTGTGAGACCAAGTAGAGTTTTAGAGGTCCCTGTATCAATTGGAAACTTTACCTCACATCCTTGTAATTTCACAGGCAAAATACGAAGCCATCTATCCTTGGCCCTGTAGATAATATATTAACCACCACACCTGAACTGAAACAGAAATGGCTTTTTTCTCCTATATTAAAGGCCAGACCTCACCCAGTGCTTGCTAGTTTACATTAGTGGACATCATAATATTTACAACCTATTACCTTCTTTGAGCCTGTTGTTAGAAATTTTATCTATTTGGAAGGCATTTGGACTTCTCTGTAGGCACAGAGATAAGGCACCTATGTAAGAAATGACTGAATTATTTAAGTGTATAACAAAATTCTTCTATATGTATGTATTCAGCACGTACTGCCAGACCATTCAAACTAAGTAGCAGATTCCTGGGGTCAAGAATTCCATGTGGCTACCTGGCAAACCTGCTTATGGATGTGATCTAAATCTTCCTTCACTGAACCTTTAAATGATGAAGGTATAA